AGACTTTTCACTAACACAGTCATGGTGCTCTGGCTGCGGTTTTGCCTGATTGCCAAAGGAACCTCACGCCTGGAGTTCTGCTGGGGTCCAAGACAGCAGCCGAGAGTTCATTATGAGGACATTAAAGCAACTTTATGAAAGAATTGGTATTTGACATAGGACATAGCAAGCCAGCTAATATCACTTACTAGTCCAACAGCAAGAAGGTCAGCTTAGCATCTGTTGGCATCTCAGCCTTTTATTTTACCTCCTCTGTCCGATGATCCAAAGCTCCTGTGCTAGGGGTGTAAACAGCAACACTCCCCCGGTGCTTGGAGCTCCCACTCCAGGCCTAGCTAACTGAGCTAACTAGCACCTACATTAGCAGCTGTTAGTGATCACTTTAGCAACAAGTATATGTCAATCAGGAAATTCCATAAATCACAGAGAGCTGAGGCCATCAGACGAAAAACAATAAAACATCCTCTCAATAAAATATGATTCAGCTTTACCAAAATTAGCGACATACTGTAGTTGGCGGTGTGTGAAGTGCAAGAAGAGGCATTTGGGATGCAGAAATTAATCAGAAGAGCCACCATTCTCCATCACATTTCTGAAATGAATTGTCCCAACCCGAGCCGTACACAGCCAATCTCTGTGACCACTGCCTGAAATGAGAGAAATTAATTAATTGTGTTTCTTAATTTCCAGAACTATACAGTAACATGAATAAAATGTTCTCATATCAGGACCAGAAAAGATATTTGATTGGCAAAATATCAGCATGTAGATGCAGGTACCAGATTTGTCTCAGTCTCTGAAACAGAGCTACGGAACATGCAACACAAAACCCTTTTTTCCCACTGTAATATCAATATGCCTAGAGTTGTAGTAAAGCACAGTAGTTCTTGATTTGTGGTATAAAATTACTTCAAGCCAAATGCAATTGCATTGCTAGAGAAATGGGCTCACTCCTGTTGCAGCCTGAAAGTGTTGTAAACCTGCATTCCATGTAATGGCCAGCAGGGGCAGCTCAATGGGCTGCAATAAAAAACAATACCATGCACTCTTATGGAGGAATGATCTGACTTCTCACTTCATTTATTAACTTAGTAAATGGTTTCCTAATGAGTTCATGGTCTCAGTCGCTACTTTCAAGTCTTCTTCCATACAGCATGATGCTCATTTTGTAAATCATGGTCAAATTTAGAGCAAAAGAGATGATAAAGCAGGGTATGCTTCTGGGCGTGGCTACCTTGTGATTGACATGTCATTCTCAGTGTGTCCATCTAGCGCACTGTGCGAAACTCAGATCAAACTGTCAAACTAGTGCTGATCAAATATGAATCAAGATGCATTGCCCATTTCTCACCTAAAATTGCGACAGAAACATATTCAAGCGTACTGTTTAGCTGTAATACGAGATCGTGTGTGACCAGACCGCCATTGATCAACTCAGACAAACTGTCATGTCATCGACCATAATGTCAAACTTGAGGCTTCACAAACCACTTGGTGACATCCCAATAAGTTCACACTTGATATACTGAACATGCATTAAAATAGCCCCCCTGCTCATAAATATTGATCAGAAATATTTGTACTACATAACAAGTGGGCACTTTTATTCTGCAAAAGTGTTACAAACCATATTTTTAAACAAACCAACAACACAATGATATCCCTTGGTGTACAAAGAGCTGCATTGTTTCTGTTAACAGTTTCTATTTTCTACTCTTCCCTTTCTTCCAAATGTAATTACTACTAAATTTCGCTCTCAGCTAAAATGTTATTTATTTTGGATTCCTATCACAAACACCACAAGGATTCAATCTTTCTATTATGGTGAATCATTGTCTGACTTACTGTAGGACAATGTGTTACAACAGCGGAAAGGCTGAGGTTACATTGTAGTCATGTCTCTGCTTTGTTTCAGGGTTGCCCTTGCAAATAAAACTTTTGGAACAAATATGATGCCAAGAGCTGACTTAAAAGTTTTACCACATGAAGAATTATACATAGCTAAAGACGTGTGAAATCTCAGCTGATAAAAAGATCACCCTCAGGCTAGAGAGATACAGTATACGCACAACATATTGCTTGTGGTTCCTGGAACTGTGTTTAATTTTCTTGGGATGGGAATTGGAGCCATGTCAATGTTGAAGTGCCTTTGAGCATTACTACGTCAAGGACAAAGTATGGTGACTTAAAATCACATATGTTATTTCACCTATTGTCGGACAGGTAGGCAGGCCAAATGTAATTAGTATTTACATTCAGCTAAACTGCACTGGCACACCTTTTCCCTCTTGACATGTATTTTTCTTGGACAGTTTGCATTAATGAAAAAGTAAAAGTGTAACCGTATGCAGACAAGTCCAACTGTTTTAATTATCCCAGTTCCAAGACAAATTCCTTTCACTTGGAAGTGAAATCCTATTGTCTGTGGTTTTGGCATGTCTTTAGAGAAATTACTTTATAGCTTCTGAAGCAGTACCCAATTATGTATAGCCCACAACACAAAAAAAGCAAAAAGACATGCCCAGGCTTGAGATGGCCGAGTTGGAAAAGAGGCGGGAGTATCAGATCTCAGTGAGAGGGTCCATGGATGTGATCAGAAAATGGTTGTGTAATTTTCCCAAAACACAAGGCAACGATAGAAAGAATTCACGAGACCCACAAGAGCACTTGCACACATGCACTTGCACAGTGTTGAAATCTGTTATCTCTGTTAGAGACAGAATGGCCATGTATCCAGGAAGTTACCTCTGGCTTTTAATCGTAAGAGAGAAGATGAACATCAGGTCAGATTCCAGGAGCAGACAGGGGAGAACCTGAATAAATGACTGACAGACAGAGAGAAAGAAAACCAGAGAAAGTCACGAAACAGCAGGATGAAGACGCTGGCTCATTGCCAAAGTCTGTTCCTTTTAGTTTCCGCACCTTGGCTCCCTACTTCCCTGATATTCTCAAGATACCCTGAACGGATACAAAAGCTTTTATTTTACCAGAGCTGATAAAAGGAAACACCTGTGTAAAATTGTGGTATATATATTAAATCCTACAGGCGCCAACCATCCATATAAATGTACACATGCTAATCAAAACAAGAAATTAAGCATCAAATACAGACTGCTTAATATCCCACCTCTCACTGCATGGCACCATGTTCACTTATGTGTTCTGTTACAGGTAAATTTGTTTGAAATGGTTGCTCATAAAACCTGAGGCCTTGCTGGCAGCGTGTTACTGAGCTGAGAAACATTCAGTGGATGTGTGAAGTACTTGCCAGTAACAGCCAGCTAAGTTGAATATAAGGTCAGTCTTTTGAAAGCTACTAAAATATGTTTACCTATGTGTTCTACACACCAGGCATATACTGCACCCAGTAAACCCATCAACCTAATACAAGCTGATGTCAATAACTGCACAAATGTTCTTTTTTCCATATTGTAGCATTTGGTCAGTTCATACTATAACAATCTGTACAATAAATGTTCTTTTGTTCTGCATATCTTGCATCATTTGTCATCGCACTGAGGGGTCAAGTGCTTTAACAGGTTGAGTGTGTCTGTCAGTTTGACACTGCCTGTCTCTTTCTTCCTGTGTCCTGAGGCCAGAGCAGCAGAGTTTACTATTTGAAGTATTCCTGATGCACAACAGGTGCCTTGGTTCTTACAGTAAATGTCTTTTAAACATGAAGACGAGGGGAAAAGAACAGGGCAGAAGCTGATCTCTTTCTTCTCTGCTACTCACATTACAACTGCTACATGTCTAAAGTCTGATAGCGTTTTTTTGGGGGTTTTTTTTCTACCAGCCTGGAATTTAAGCTATTGACAGATGGTGAAACAGAGGTGCAGAGTAGTGTTACTAAATGCTAATAACTTTTACATGTCTCTACAGCAATATCTGCCATGTTGTTAAGTAATAGGGAACAATTAGTCTTTATCATCCATACGCTGAGCTGCACTGTGCCAAATTTGTAAGCTGTGAGTGAAGTTTGAATTACAGGACAATTTTTGATTTTGTCTACAGAATTGTCTACAGTGAAAAAACATAAAGTGCACTTGTATTGAAATGTTTATTAACCCACAGAAAAACATGTTTTCTGTGGAACTATAACTAACAGTAAATTGAGATTCTTCAAATGGTTTAATATATATTAAATCCCATTTTAATATACTTCATTATTGATGTCTGTGTAAATGGACCACGGCCTGTGTAACATTAAAATTAAGTAGAATTATATTGTATCTAAATGCTTATTACAGATTTTCCGGCTTTTGGAAAAAACATGTATTTACCAAACTTTGTTTTATAGTGTATAGACATGTGCTGTGTATCCTATATGAAAGACTTTTTTAAGTGATTCCAAGAATAGCCAGCTTACTGACAGCCTCTCAGGAACGTTTGGAGAGTAAACCTTCATTCTGCTTTTAACAGACGCTGCATGACATCATTTTGCGTGACAAAAACTTGATTTACGGCAGTATCTTGGCTGTTGTATTAGTTTCACATGCAGGCTTGTCTAAGCTGTGACAAGCAGATCGTCTTCCCGTAAATGACAAGCTTTGATTGCAATTGTGAATGAAAAACGGAGACTACACGAGAAACGTAGGCATTGCAATTGTGAGTCAAGTAAAAAGGCATCATGAGAAAAGACATCTGATTTAATCTGATCCAATTTATCCATAAAAACTGAGTTTCATTCTCCAAAAGTAAGAATTATTTAGTCCTCAAAGACTGATCCTTATAGTTGCATTTATCAAACATTGATTAACGGGTATTAGATACCATTTCTTTATAAGAAATAGATATATCTTCAAACATTTATATGCCTGTAAAAGTGAAAAGAGAGCAAGTTGACCTGGCAGTTATCCCTCTTGATAATTATTTCCAGTGGATGACAGCAGGAGGAACTGCACTACACTGAACTGATGAGAGACACAGAAAAACTGTTTACCTTTTTCTGTTTTCACTTTCACTGCCTCTTTTCTCTCTCCCTCTCTCCATCTCTGCAGCTGTCAGTCTCTCTTTCTCACCCCCTCATAATCTGATGCTGTTGTCATCACTCCAAGAGAGAGGTATGTGTTTGTTGGAGAGAGCTGTTGACATGACCCTCCTGCACATCTTTTAACAAGGACTTGTATCTAATGACTAATGTGTCACACAGATAGGAAGAAACCCCTGTTAAATGTAAACTAACCTCGGATTGATGGCAGTCAACGCTCTCCTAAACTGCTCATGTTTTGGCCCACCTGCCTTGTTGTCATTGTATCACGGTCAACACACTGTACTGTAACCACATGCAGTAATTTGGCAGCTTGTAGGTACCAGAGTCTGATCAATGGAGCATCTTGTGGACTGGCAGACACAATGAAAATGTCTTACTACCTAACACTACATAATCAGTACCAGTAAATGTGTGGCTGGGCTCCACTGCCTTGGGCTAAGTAATTAGTCTCTGTCTGAAGTGTTTTACTCGCATGCTGCCTAGTTTTCCAGGTCACAACCTAGCAGCTGCATGACTTATGTCTTCTTTCCACATACTTTCATCAAACTTTGGCAATCTTGTTCAAAGGAGTTATATTTAAGGCCACCTGTCAAATTCATACTCCAAACAAATTGGGGGCAGCTTATCATCAGAGTTGGGGTGTCCACCTCTTTTACAAGAAACAAGGAAATGCACCCTCCCATATGTCTTTCTTTTGCTCAACAAACAGCTAATTTAACAAACATATTAACACTAATACGGATGACATATTAGCTTTATAATCTGCTATCTAAAATAGCTGTTTACCTATCAGTCCAGAAGACAAGTTGTGAGTTCCTCCCTTGAGTCCAGCAGTAGAAAGCAATGCCAATGTTAACTGCTTCTGTTTCTTTATTTACTGCCAAAAGTGGTTTCTTGCCCTTGAGGCAGCGATACATCTTCATCCTCTCATGTTGGACTGAAGGCAGACTGGACACTACAGTGTATTTACTATCATCTCTTGAGGTATAAAGTGGTATTAAAAGGCAGGACGGTCCAGGGCTTTCTCCACAATACATAGACATTTTTCACATAAAGACAAAACTGTAATTTCTTCACATTCTGTTGATAATGTCAATTAATTTTAATGGCGTAAACTAAAGTCTTTACATATAACTCCTTTAACACGGCAGTGCCATGTGGTGCCTTGAACACTCATGCCAACAGAAATGGTCTGGATTTACAGTTTGGTAAAACTGGGGAATCAGCCTATTGTGTGAAAGGGAACCTCTTTAGAGCAGGGGACGCCACATGAGGATGTTTTACAAAGTCTGTTCTTATAAACATCCTTCTTGGTGAAAACTGTATGAGGCATGAATCATAATATTGAACAACTGCTTTGTTTATACCAATGTGTATTAATACAGTATGTTGAGTGTCTGGAAATATGAACCATACTGTGTCTGTCATATCTGTGGTTTTGGAATACCTTTGTCATTATTTGGCTGGCACATGTGAGCAGGCATATCTCCTGCTAGCTCTATTCTTCTTCATAGCATCTCCCATTTGTGTTTGTGCACTCTGTTTTTTTTAAGTTGGGATACGAAAGAGGAAAACTGTCCTGTGCATGAAAGTGCACGAAGACTCACACCGCACTCTGTTTTATCAGTGCCATATGGATCGCCTTTGCCCCACAGTCTGATAGAGGATGTGTGTCAGTATGTAAAATCCATTGGATCATTTCATTTAACATTTTCTTTAACAGGCCCATCAACACCCTGCAAATGTGGCAAAAATAGGTAACTTTTCAGTAAACCAGTACAAAATTTTGGGGGGAGAGTTTGATTTTATTTCTGTAAAACTACAACGCAAACAAACAGCATTGTGAGCACATCCAAACCCTATTCACTGAAATACAGGAAAACAACAGGGGCATCACACAAGCTTGTATAGTGATGCATGTGCGTGAGTTTGTTGTTTTGCATACAGTATTTGTGTGAGAGGGTCGGAGGGACCAGACAGATTCTGATTCAGTGCTGAAGTAATCCTATAAGTCAGAGGTGCTCTCTAAACCGCTCTGACCCCTGTGCTCCTGCGCTGCAGTGTTTACGCTGGCTCCACTGGCATTAAACACAAGCCACATATTTTTAACATTAGGATCCTCCCAGCTCACCCTGGGCCATGTAAATAGTGTGCTGCCCGTCAGCCGGGATCAATCAACTCACTGCCTGTTTGGACCAGCTCCATATGTGTGCGAGTGTGTAGGTGTGTGCGTGTGTGATTGCGTTTACTGAAACCAAAAGATATCACCAGTAGATCATTTTTGCTAAATTCTCAGATGATAACTCTTCATCTGCAAGATTACTGGATTGTTTTGCAGATGCTATGTCAAACTGACCGTAAGGCAGGGACTGAAGAAGTATTTAGACCTTTTATTTGAGTAAAAGCAGCAATATCACAATGTTAAAGTATTTAATTACTTACTAAAGTGTAAATGCATCAGATTTATCTGCAAAAGATAAAAGTATTCTTTATGTAGAATGGCCACTTTTAGAGTCACATAAAATTATATTATTGAATTATTATTTCTGATTAATTAACATATAAACAGCATTTAATCTTGTGGTGGTTGGAGGTAACTACTTTATGTGCTTTTGGGTCAGTTATTAAAGTGCATAATATGATTTGTACAATATGAAAAACTTTAATATGTAGTAAAATACCAATTGTGCACATATGTCACAACAGGATAAATGTGAAACGCTGAATCCGGTCTTAGTAAAAATAGTCATAATTGTGTTAAAAGGGTAGTGGAAAATAAATATTAAGTAGCATTAAATAGAAATACATAGGTAAGTTCCTCAAAATTTTACTAAATACTATAGTTACTCTCCACCCCTGCCTTGTAGACAATAAAAGACAAGTATAGAAAATGTGTTTCAAAGAACAGAAACTTAAGACCTTGAGCATTCTTAGCTTGTGAATGATTTATGATGCTAAACTTCTGTGATTCATGTGAATTTCTATTTCTAATGGGAACGGGGCCAGTGACATTTTGATATAACTCAGCTGCTTGACGTTCGTCTTTGAGTTCTGGTCTATGGAGGCAATGCAGGCAACACTGACCTCTAATGGTTATTATGTGCTACACCTGGAGGATTTGCTACACTTGGAGGATTTCATTGCAAGTCGTTTATCTATCAGACCTGTCTGCCACAAAAGATTAAATAAAAACTATATCATGTTTCACTTTTGCAAATGTAACTATGAATCACTTCTTTTCATACCTAGCCAGAATGCTGTAACTACATCTCACAACAAGGTTGTAAATGTTCAGCTAAACATTTACAAGACTACTAAACTTTCCAAGACTGTACCAGCAAGATTGGTTTTACACAACATTGTAGATAAGTCAAAAATACTGACACGCCAGTTTCAACTCACCTCTGTGACCTGTGAGTGTTTGTGTGGGAGGGTGTGTGTATTCATACACATCACGGCATTTAAGCATGTAAACTATTCATAAAAACAACCTAACATACATTCCTATATGCACATATGTGGTATGTATGTCTAAGAAACACGCTGTTGTGTGTGCACATGTGTTCATGTCCCATTTTCATGGTGCATGTTGGAGTTACATTCAATATATATAACAACTAATGAGGTGTGAAATACTGCACATTCCAATGTGTGGCACGTCTAAGCTCTAAGAGTTAAACATGGTGAGTGTGTGTGTGTACTTTGCATAAGATAAGGTCAGATAATGATAAATTGTGTATGTCTTTGAGAGCAGTGGTGGTCAGGGGAAAGTGATGAGAGTTTTGCAGTGCTCTCAAAATCATCTTATCTACACTGCTACATATTTACTGCTTTCCGTCTTGCACCTTATTACTTGGTTTTTACCACTTGTTGGTACTGGACGGTATGTAAACAGAAATGTTGACACTATCTCAAGGATAGAAAATGAGTTCCATTTTGTTATCTCTTGTCTCTTTACTAAGAACTGGGAGACTGGGTTCCAATATCTTACCTGAAATTATGTCGATTTATATATGATGTTCTGATTGATGTTTGTCTTTGTATTTTTGTTGGGAGAAGATTTCTTGCTGTATTCTTGATGCTTAATATACAGCATTGTCTTGTAATCCCGTATGTAATGGGCTGAATATATGGGCATGACACAAACTGTACATTCATTAGAAAGCAAGACAGTGTTAAAGTTGTTTGAATAGTTCACATAAGTATGTCCTGCCCGAGAATCAAAGTTTAGTTTTGAATGATGAAGGCAGACATATCTGTTAAATTACCAGTATTTATAATTTGAAACAATAAATTATTTCATGTTGAAGTTAAGTATTTGGTCTGTATGTGTGTGTATGTTACAGAGCTGTGGTTCAGGGGGTCCAGATGGCAGGCATGAGGGGCCCGGCCTGCACTGGAGTCTGGATCTAGAGTCCACAGGGGCTCCCACTTCAACTGGACACATTCCACAGGTACACATAAACACTCAACATGGCAACACACAAAACAGGAGACATTCAAGTTCAAGGACCAAGCATGCAAGGGTGAAAATGAACAAAACATTTGTCTCTCAATCAAAGCACTTAACTGACAGAAAAACTCTAACTATATCTCCTCCTTGCTGGTGTATTTATAGGGCTGCAACTAATTATTACTTTGATTATCAGTGAACCAAAGAATATTCTCTTCAATAATTTAGCTTTTAAAAATCAATTTACTGAGAGACACATCAACAAATTGGCCATTTATAGCAAATTATTACACAATTAGATTTGGCGGAAACAGCTCTGTTGTTTGAGGGAGCTCTCAAAGAACCTGAGAAGATTCTTTACATCTAAGTTAAATCAACAACACAAAATACCACATAAGTAAGAGGTTGGGGTTGTGGAGGGCTGCAGCAACAAACAGTGTTGGCATGAGTGTAATCAGCAGGGACACAGTAGTAAGGCTAAGGTTGTAATGTCTGCTGTAGACTTGGATGGATGTTACTAGTCACACAGCTGTGACTGAGCTAATCATTGTAAAGCATATTGCAAACAGCTAATGCCAATCAGCTAATACAAGCGTGACTTCATGATTTATTTCTTAATAATGTAAGCTGTATGTATTTACCTTAGATATAAACATGACAGAGTCTGAACTTTTTATTGTCTTGTGTTCGGCTCAGGACTTGTGCCCATGAGGTCGTCACCACTGGTCCTGCTCCTCCTGATCGGCGTCCAGGCTGTACTGAACATGGGAGGTGGATTGGCCTGGAGCGCCGGGGCAGCCAACCACAAAGTAGGACAGCAGACGGCAGCCAATCACAGAGCAGGACGGCAGCAGACAGCAGCGGGGGACCACCTTTCTGAACACCATTCTTCACAGGAGCATCGTAGGACCAGCCACCACAGGACCAAGAGGCCCCATCGGGCAGCTTCCCACACCCAGGATAGGAGCCCTGCCGTCGGGCACTCTACTTCAGATTCCCCCCGTGACCCCTCCATCCCAGTGGTGGACCCCAAGCTCTTCTCCAAGAGGCGTTACCGCTCTTCGCCCCGTGTTGTCTTCAGCGAGGTGCCCCCATCACATGATGCCCTGGAAGGTGAGGGCTATGACATTGAAGGGGTGAGGGGGGTGAGAGTAAGGCGCAGAGCAGGATCGCACACCATGCACCGAGGAGAGTACTCAGTATGTGACAGCATAAATACCTGGGTGGGCAACCTGACACGAGCCACAGACATAGCTGGGAATGAGGTGACAGTGCTGCCCAACGTTACAATCAACAACGTGGTGAAGAAACAGTTCTTCTATGAGACCACCTGCCGATCCCCCACGCACAGAGGCTCCGGGACTGCAAACGGGGGAAGGCCAGGGGGACGGGGTGGCAAACAGGGCTCCAAATCAGGCAACTCGGGCTGTCTTGGCATCGACAGTCGCCACTGGAACTCCTACTGCACCAACACACACATATTCGTAAGTGCCCTGACCATCTTCAAGGAACGGACAGCTTGGCGTTTCATCCGCATCAACGCTGCATGTGTGTGTGTTCTCAGCCGGAAGTCTTGGGCGGGACGACTGGGGCACTGACTGGGGAGGATGACTCCTGACCACTGAACTATGAATCAAGCACACACATTTCTACTAAACAGCCACTGCAGCTTTATTGCCAATACTGTAATCCTCCTCTTCCCCACCTCCAAACATACACACATACTGACCATAGCATTCAATCCATCAACATACACACACACACACACACACACACACACACACACACACTCATACACACATACACAAACAGCTTCATCTATCCAACCCCTTGGCCCCTGACCCTACCTCAGTCCAAGAAGTCCTGGTTGTTTTAAGTTATGAGGACTGCATGTCATATTTATGGTTTATACAGTCAAATATGAAAATATATACAGTATGTGTATATATACAAAATGAATTCAAGCTTTTAATGTTGTTGTTATTGTTGTTGTGTTGTTCATGCTGTTATTTATTAAACACCTCAGTACTTGCCTTGTTTTCTTGTGTCAGTTTAAGATAGATGTTCACATTTTGTGTTTAAAGCTGCCCTTATTAATATTTTTATATAAGTGAATGTAGTTGTAGTGACAAATCACCCACCTCTGCTGTTCCCCTCAACTCTAGATCATTTTTTATTTATTCATCTTTCAGATCATGGTTTTGGAGTTTACTGTTTTGGTTCTGGTCTCAGTGCTCTCAGCGTTTCCACATACAACAAGCAGCAGTTTTTACTGAAAAGCTCTGATTAACCCATCGTACCGTATCTTTCCAGCACCAGACAGACAAAGTTAGTGATGAACATAGTGGAACATTTAGTGACTAAGAGCCAGATATTTCCCTCAGGAGTTGTTGAGGCCAAGCCAGAGTAGGAAAGTGAATTAGACTTAGATTCATGGAGGCCAGTGACCCGACTTCAGACTAATTAATACTAATGCTGCTCTGTATTTGCTCAGTGTGTTTGGTAACAAGCTCTCCATATCAACTTTACAAGGTGACAAAATGTGATTGTGTTTACCGCCCCCAAGTGGCCAAAAAAAACAACAATTATAATGCAAGATCTAAAAGGATGGCACTTCAGTTGTACTCTAAACCCATAAGAGCCCTATTAAGAGTCGCAAGATAAATTTAAGGGGTCATTAAATTATTAGTGGGGTAGGAAATAAGGAAAAACTCATTCACAAAAAACATTTCGCAAGCACAAAAGGTTGTGAACCGCTGTTCCTAACTAACCAAAATCCCAGACTCCCTAAGTGCAACTCAAATTTTATAAGTAGCCTAAAATTACAAGATCAGACATTTAATCAACTTTAGTTTTCCTCTTTATTTCTTCAAATATATTTTTACTACCAGTGGCTGTTCTCGGCAATATTCCAGGAGGGCTCGGGAGGCAGTGGCAGAACAGGGTTGACTTCAGAGGAACACAGTACAGACATACCGACCATCCCTCTCATACTTGTACATCCACAATCAAGGTTCTTCCCAGAGTGAAGGAATGTTGAGTCCAGCTCTGCATTTTATACACAGAGGAAGATGGATTGGCTGTGGTGTTCCCAGCAGTGTGGCAGAATTCCTGTCACCTTAGAAAATTGGTGTTAACATAGCTGTGGGAAATGCCTGTGAGCCAGTGTGTGAGGGAAAGATAGGAAATTTGAAATATCCCATAGGTGCTGTACACCCCCCTCCACTCACTTATTCTGGTTATTCCTATAATTTGTCACCAATTTGTAAGAGGTTGGAGGTAAGGTTGAAAATAAGGGCAGTGTAGAGACTAAGAGAAATGTATATCACTTAGATTTCATCCAATCCAGAAACTATATGCTGGTTTGACAATAACATAATTTAAATTTTAAAAGTTTGCAGCACATGGTGAAGGTACTATATAGAAGTTTACAGTACCCTACTAGAGAAGCCCATTGACAAACATTAGCCTCTCTATTGTCTCAATTTTAGTAGTAATTTGATAAACAAAAGAATATTTTAGGAATGTGCACAAATAGGTCAATTCTGACAGAGAGCTCCTCTACAATACATGTAGACAAAACTGGTATTAACCCACTGACTTGTGCTTATCATTTATGTTGATTTGGTTATTAAACTTAAACTTAAATTATTAAACTTTGCAATTAATCAAATTACAACAAAACATCTGACACACAATGTTTATAGGTTGCCTTTGGGATCTCTGAGGATCTTTGTGTCAACCCGGGTGAATGGGTGCCAATCACAGACATCCACAAAAGATGAGAATAAGAGTATTTAATCTGTACAAACACACAAATCCTCACAGTTTAAAGTGGATGTCTCTGACAAGATTCTGCAAGAATATGCTACCCTCTTGTGGTCAGGTTGAAAACTATACATGATAAATGTTGGTGTTAAATGAATAGGAGAGGGAAAGATGGACTGTTACAGAACTCTCTCTCTCTCTCTCTCTCTCTCTCTCTCTCTCTCTCTCTCTCTCTATCTATCTTCTTTGCACTCTTTTGACTGAAAGCTGAGTTTTGCACCTCTCCTCACATCTCCCCAGGTGCCAGGCTGTGCTCTCACCTTTACTAATGCTGCCGCTTCACAGATCATACAGTACACGATGCTCTTCAGTTCCTGATGTGTTGCCTGGAAACTCACCATAGCAGCTGACCACAAAGCTCTCTGATCAAAGGTTTTTTTGTTAACCATTTTGCCGCAGTAGCTGTGAAGTTACTGTGTATAAGGCAGCAGTCTGTATGTAAAGATTATGTTGATTTCTGACTTCTAAATCAAGGGGTGGTCCCTACATTATCTTGTTCTCATGATTGATCATGATCAACAAACGTTGATCTGGATGAATTGTGAATAAATAGCACTCCCTCCCCTCAACAGCTGCTGCCAAAGACCCTTTAATCAAGTCATTAACTTCTCAGAGCACAATTTTTCAGAAAATGTAAAATATAGTCAATGTTTGCAGTGTGACCAGTAGATGGAGCTGTGCTGCCACAGATAGAAGTCTTTCTCATTGCTAAAGTCTGCCAGTTTGTTGTTCCAGCTTAATTTAACCTCTGACAAAGTGAGACTATCGTTGACCCTCACAGCCATCATCAATAATGACCTCAGAGCAGAGAAGAAAATGTCCAGGCCCCAACCAAAACATGGGTGTAACAGATAATACTAACAACAAGAAGCTATTACTGATCCCACCCGCTCAAGAGAGAAGGAGAAAAGAAAAAGAAAAAGATACATACAATAGCCAACCAACAGTTTACATTAGTCACAATGATATACCATGACCATGCCATCAAGATGGACCTGTTAAGTATCATGTTGAGTTGTAAAATGATCCAGTCAGCTATTTGTTATCTATTTTCATAGAGGTTATGACCTGTGCACATTTTTCATGTTCACATGTTTGGAATCACATAGCAACTGAGCCTCCAACAGTCCACAACAAGCAGGGACACAGCGGTCTTAGTCCCAGTCTTATCAGCCTTTCCTCTTTTGGCTCTGCGCTGGTTAGCGTCCAAGTTAAACCTTTTTTTGTTTTCTTTCTGTCCTCCACAATTCCCTTAATGAGTCTCACAGCACAAACGTTATTGCTCTGATAGTTTTAGACGGTTCAGTCCTGAGACAGACACATGTGTAAATGACTAAAAAGAGATACATGTTGGTGATTATTCACATAAATATATCATCAAAGCATTTGCTGTAGCCCTCTCTCGCCATCATTCCTGTCTGAGTCCTTCTTCCCTCTTGCATTCCCTCAGCTTGGCAGACCACTTTGTTCCTCTATAAGGACATTTTCTAACCAGTGCCTAATTTCCCAGTGATAAAATGAACTGCTCTTTGGATGTTCCCATTGCTCTCCATGGTTGTGGGGAAAATATTTATGTTGAACCCAGTGTTGCTGCTGACATGCTCCCAGTCACTGAGGGAAGAAATCCAGCAGAGGGGCCACTCTTTCCAACTCATTAATAGTGGATGTAGTTTGTATATCTCGTTTATGCTTAGCTGATGCTTTGCACAAGGTTGCATTTTAGAATAAGAATTGCTTGACATTCAGAGAAACCATGACTTCTACTGTGATAAAAAGCCTTACTTTTTCCAAGAACAGATATATATTCCATTTTTAAAGATTAAGTTGAATAAGGAGGACAGCGGATGATAAACGTGTTTGAAGTGAAGCTCTTTAACTCATGACTCTAGTACTAAATTTAGTGTCATCTACTGTAAACAGAAAGAATCAGAAACTATTTGTGCTCCCAGTTGATCCTTTGAGAATTAGTCAGCTAATATTATTGATAAATTAACTTTTGTTTTTTTTTATGTTGACACTTTTATTTATGTATTTCCACAAGAGGCTTGTATTGCTGCACCAGCAACTGGTTTGAGTGCACAGGAAAGGCTTGGGAAAGGTTGTTGGTGCTATTGCAGTAACACCTCAGCAACACGGTGTATCTTGTAAAAGGAAATTGTGTAAATCCTGTTATCTGACAATGTGATTACAAAACTTAACACATATTTTGAAACAACAAATTTCTTCTTTGCCTGCTGTCTTAGTAGAGATTTATTTTGTAATAATCCTGTCATCAATTAGTCTGGTTCCCATACTTCATATGTGCATGATGAATGCTGTTAATATGCCTTAATCTAATGACAAACAGCCCACTGTGTAGCAGTAAAATTATGGGATGCTATAGAAATTATATCCTAGCTGGAAAATATCTCAAGCTTAAGTTAAAACACTACAGTCACTCTGTCTTAGTTTAGGGCTCCTTTTTTTGTTGCCATATATTGAAGGTGTGTGAAGGATAGCAACAGCATATGTTGGTAATATACAGCATATGAAACAACAGCAAATAATAATATCCCTTTACATATATTATGGAATTAATTTAATCCTGTTCTCACTAAATTACTGATGAATATATCCTATAGCAAAGATATACTGTATATCATTGCCAAGCAGGAACAGATATTGTGCGCTGTGTAATGACACTAATAATAATAACAGAACTCACTCATTATTAGGTTGTCACATATAAAGAATATAAGAAACAATTATGCTTGTTTCCTTTCGTATTGTTTGTTATTAGCCTATTATTTTAAGGTGCCATGAGGTTACAAACTTAAATATAAAAAGGACATACTGAAAATACAGTGAATATCAGTTTATTTAGGTGAAGAGTGAGTTTTTGTTACAGGAGGAAAAATAAAAAAAACTCTGCGACCGAACATTTGCCAGGTCCCCATCGTGTAGTCTCGGCCCCCCCTTCAGCCTCCCCTCCGTATTATTGAAATGGGCGGTCTGGAAAGAGTTTAAGCGGATCCTGCGGTGTTTTGTGTGCGTGTGTGTGTGTGTGTGTGTGTGGTGAGAGAGTGAGAGAGAGAGAGAGAGAGAGAGAGAGAGAGAGAGACGGCGCTTCCTGATGCTCAAGTGTTGTGACCGGGACAGACCGTTATTGTCACAGTGTGCGGGTCCAATACAACCGTCAGAGCATTTTGCGGGGATAAAAGCAAAA